TTTGGAATTGGGTAATGGGTGCAGGCTGAAAGAGTTTTAAGGTGCCTAATAGTAAAAGCCTAGATTGCCCTGAAGAGACTGTTAGAATTATGGACATTAAAGGCAATTCTGGTGAGGGCTCAGAAAACTGAGGAGAGCTATACAGAGAGTCTCTAATGTCTTAGAGAATACATACGGTGCCAGCAACAAAATGTTGCTAGAAATATGGACATTAAACGTGCTTCTGGTGAGGCTTTAAAAGGAAATGATGACCATGTGATTGTACAATGGAGGAAGGGTGATGCATTATGCAGAGGCGAAGAACTTGTCTAAATTATGTTTGAATGTTTGGTGGAAGGTAGAATTTGTAAGTGATGGACTTGAATATCTGGCTAATGAGATTTCTAAGCAAGATCTTAAAGGGGCCGTGTGGTTTCTCCTTGCCACTCATAGTAAAACGTGAGAGGAAAGAGATGGACTTAAAAATGAACTGTGCAAAATAAAACAGAACTTGAAGATTTGGAAAATTCCACTGTACAAACTAAGGACATGTATCCTAGAATGTTCACCAAGGACTAGCTACAATCTTTTGTTAAAGAGATTCAGCCTGTGACTGATGGATCTAACCAACTACCACAATAGAAAACCCATCATCTTATACTGAAAGGAAAGAACACTGTCTGCCTCTTGGAATCCTACAGGCAGGAAACAGGCAAAAGGGGCTGTATCTGTTGTCCCCAAGAAAAGGACCATCCCTGCGGCAGGTCGGAGATCAGCAGAACTGTTGGAAGGAGCAAGGGCCTTCTTAGTTTCAAAAGATGGGGCCATGGTCTCCTGGATCTCATAGAGTGGGGCCACAGCCTCCTAGGTTTCAAAGAGTCGGATCTTCGCCAACTCAGGTTTCAGAGTTGGTGGGGCTGCCACCCAAAACTGAGGGGGTAGGGCTGCCATGCCCAAGGGGCAGAACAGGGCCTGCCAGGGCCGAGGTGGGACTGCCACTCAGATGGACTAGGAGAATGGGGCTGCCTAAAGCTGAGGGAACAGAGTTGCCATCCAGAGGGCCTGGAAGGCAGAGGTGAAGCCCAGGGCCAAGGGGTCTCCACCTAGAATCCAGAGGATGTGGCCAGCACCCAGAATCTAGAGGGTGGGGCCACTGCCCAGAAGGTCTTAGAGAAGACAGGATTATTTTCAAGCCTTCATAACTAATGTAATTTGTTCTGTTGGGTCTGGGATTTGCTTGGTACCTGTTATCCCGTCTTTCCCTTCAATTTCTCCCATTTGTAATGGAAATGTCTACTTGGTGTCTGTTCTACCATTGTACTTTGTAAGCAGATAACTTGTATTCTGGATTTCACAGGTTCATAGATGAAGAGGAATTTTGCCCCAGGATGGAATATGCCTAAAATCTCACCCATATTTGACTTAGAGGATTTAGAAGATGAGATTTTGGACTTGGAGTTGATTTAAGACTTTGGGGGTGATGTGATGGGATGGGATGAATGTGTTTTGCATGTGGGAAGGACGTGAATTTTTGGGGGCCAAAGGGTGGAATGTTATGGATTGAATTGTGTTTCACAAAAAACATGTGCTGTAAATCCTAATCTCTATGCCTTTGGTTATAATCCCATTGGGAATAGGTTGTCTTTGTTATGTTAATTAAGCAAGATTAGTGTAGTGTATATATTGAGTCAATCTCTTACAAGACATAAAATGAGCAAATTACCCAAGCAGAACTGGGAGAAGATGGAGATCTCCAAGGAAGCAGGAAATAGAAGCTGAAGTAACAAGGACTTTCCCCCAGAGCTGACACAGAGAGAAAGCCTTCCCCTACAGCCAGTGACCTGAATTCGAACTTCTAGCCTCCTAACTGTGAGAAAATAAATGTCTGCTTGTTAAAGCCATCCACTTCTGGTATTTCTGTTAGAGCAGTACTTGATAACTAAGACACACATGACCAACTGGGATTTATCTGAGAAATGTAAGGTTGGTCTAACACTCAAAATCCATTAATGTGATATATCGTAAAAAGACGAAAACCACATGGCCATCTTAATATAGAAAAGGCACTTTAAAAAATACAACACTATTCATGATAAAAGTCCTCACAAACTAGGAATAGGAGGGTACTTCCTCAACCTGATAAAGGACATTTATAAAAAAAACCTACACCTAACATTATATTTAATAGTAAAATACTAAATGCTCTTTCCCTAAGATAAGGAACAAGGCAAGCATATCTGCTCTCACTACTTTTACTCAATTATACATTCTAGCCAGCCCACACAGGCAAATGGATGGATGGATGAATAGATGCATGGATAACTAGATGGGCAGTAGACAGATTGATAGTTAGTCAGACAGACAGCAAATGAATGGCATCCAGATATGGAAGGAAGTGGTAAAATTCTTTATTTGCAGATGACATGATTCAGTAAATAGAAAATTCTACAGAATCAACAACAAAAATAAACCTTGTAGAACTAATAAACAAGTCACAAAACCAATATATAAAAATAAATAGTATTTCTATCAATATACAGAAATGAATTGTATTTCTACAAAACAGTAATTAAAAACTCCAAAAATAAAATTAAGAAAACAATTTCATTCACAGTAGCCACCACAAAGAATAAAAAACCTAGGAATAAACAAAGAAGGTGTAAGACTTGTACTCTGAAAACTACAAAACGCTGCTGAGAAAAAAAAATTAAAGGACATATAAGTAAATGGAGACACACTTCATGTTCATAGATTGAAAGACTCAATATTCTTAAAATGGCAATTCTCCTCATACAGATCTACAGATTCAACACAATCCCTATTAAAATCCCAGTTGGCTTTTTGCAGAACTGTCAAGCTGATCCTAAAATTTACACAGAAATGCAAAAGAGCTAAATAGCCAAAACAATTCTGAAAAAAGAACAAAGTTAGAGGACTTACACTTCTGAAGTCAAAACTTACTATAAAGCTACAGTAATCAAGAGAGTGTAGCACTGGTGTAAAGACAGACATATAGATCAATGGAACAGAAACAGAAACAGATGTCCAGAAATAAACTCCTGCATTTATAAGATGATTTTCGACAAAGGTGTCAATGCAATTCCATCAGGGAAAGGATAGTCTTTTCAACAAACACTGCTGGGATAAATGGACATCCACATGCAAAAAGATGATTTGGCCCCTTGCATCATATACAACATTAACTCAAAGTGGATCATAGACCTAAATGTAAAAGTCAGCACTACAAAACTTAGAAAAAAACATAGAAGAAAATCTGTGACCTTGGGTTAGGAACAAATTCTTAAATACGACACCATAAGGAAAATCCATAAAGCAAAAAAAATTGATAAACCAGACTTCATTACAATTAAAAACTTTTGTGCTTCAAAAGACATCATTAAGAAAATGAAAAGAGAAGCCATATAATGGGAGAAAATATTTGCCAAAAACAGACTGGTGTCCAGAATATAAAGACCTCTTACAACTCAATAATAAGAAAACAAACAATCTAATTTAAAAACAAGCAAAAGATTTAAACAGATATTTCACCAAAGATATAGGATAAGTAATAAGTAGATGAAAAGACAGCCAACACTGTCAGTCATTAAGGAAATACAAATTAAAACCACCATTTTATAGCCAGTAGAACCGCTATAATTAGAAGACCCACAAAAACCAAACGCACTGCCGTTGAGTTGATTCTGACTCAAAGCAACCATACGTTGGTGAGGATGTGAAGAAATGGGAACCCTCATACGCTGCTGGCGGCAATGCAAAACAGTGAACAACTGTGGAAAATCAGTTTAGCGGTTTCTTAAAAAGTTAAACAGACATGATTTAATTCACGTTACTCTACCAATGATTTTGTGCAAAAGTTCCTCTACCTATAACCCCAACAGAAAGCCTTTCTGCACTGAAAAAATAAAACAGTGTTCTACTATATTACACTTAAACAAATGGTACAGATTAGTAGGACCAAACCAGGAAGTAACTGTCTAGTGACTGGCACTCAGGACACTAGTGAAATGGCAGGGGCATTATGACGTTTGCACAGTGCCATGTGTCAGGCACTAAGTTTAATCCTCCCAGCCAACAAAGAATTTGAGGCTTAAAAAGGCTGTTCTGCCTAAAATCACACAACTCTGATCGTCAAGGTGAAGCTCTTTCCTCTATTCATAAGGCTTCGAAGGATTTCAGAGTAAGACTGGAGCCAATATCTATAAATAGTATGTTTTAAAAAGTTATTCTTTGACTCTATCTAAATCTATGTGTATAAACTCTCAGAGCACAATCATATTATTAAGCAAAGTTTTAGAAATACCTGTGCATGCTAGAGGGAAAACCTTAAAAGACAACATCATGTAAGTTATTAAAAAATGATATAGATACCTCACGTCTCAACTATTTTGATGCAAAATTCAGGAATATCCAGTGAGAAATGTCAGAGGTACTATTAAATTGTCTCCTAGGTTAACAAAACTTCCAACTTCAAAATGCAATACTCAACCCTACCATGAGAAAGGTACTCTATGAGATGTAAATACGTACATGCTTTTTTCTCAAGGAAAGTACAATCTTTTGACGACCCTTAATCCATGCCAGTGCCACACAGATGTGTATTTGATCTCAGATCTGAGAATTTTGTGCCAAATCTTGAATAATTTGAGCTTTCTACAAGGTTTTCCTCAAGGAGCGCTGGAAATCCCTGTTTTATTGGACTAATGCATATATAAAAAAGCTCAAATTTTTGAGGTTTCATTTTATTATAATTTATTCAGGGTTTATAACATCATAAACACATTTTTTTGGTAAGAGAACATGCTGGGTTACACATATGAGAACCAGTATAACTTACTGGGAAGTTACGCTCTTCTTCAAAGGCCCTTAATCAGGATGCTTAAAAGAAAGTTGCCATCAACTTGGGGTAATTAAAAAGCAATAAAGGGATGAAAACAAAGGGGAAGAAATAAACCTGCTCAGCCAGATTACACAGTAAAAATAATACTGAGTTTATACTTTACCTGCAGGTTTAAGGTCTCCTATTCGAATAATATGTGGCCAGTGCTGGAGCGTTTTAGCAAAAAAAGGGTTGGTTACTCCTAATATGACAGAGGGCCTACATAAAAATAAGACAAAACAAAAATAAAGTGAGAAAAAGACAAATGTTCCATCAGCGAAGAATAGTTTATAATTTCTTTTGAGTGAACACTAAATAATCTTTTCACTCAATATAAAAAAAACCAGTCACCATTAAGTCAATTCCGACTCATAGCAATCCTATCGGACACAGCAGAACTGCCCCACAGGGTTTCCAAGGAGCGGCTGGTGGATTCAAACTTCCAATCTTTTGGTTAACAGCCAAATGCTTAACCATTATGCTACCACTATGTGCCAGTACCAATATATTACATATCAACTACCTGCCAGTACCAATAGCACTAGGCAAATAAAGATGAAAAGACCTGGTCCTTGCAATAGCACACACAACTAGAAAGAAGAGTGTACATATCAAATTACCTTGACAGAAATCAGAAGACAGTAAACGTGGTATAAAACGTACAACAATCACAAAGGAAAACCTACGTCTACCAGGAGACTGAAGGACAGCCTTATTAAAGAGATGACATTTGCAGTGAGGCATGAAAGATAAGAAGTTTTTTGCCAAGTGGATGGCGGCGGGGGGTAAAGGTGATACAGGAAAAATGAATAGCATGTAGAAAGCAATGAAGTGAGATCGTGGTCTGTTTGTAGAACTACAAACAGATCAGCATTCCTGGAGTACAACAAAGCAGGAAAGATGAATAGTCAGAAATGAGAATGGCTGGGCAGGTGCTGGCCAGATCATTAACAGCCAAGTTAATATACTAAGAAGTTTAGAGATTAACTTGTAGGCAAAGGGAAGCTACTAGAAAACAGGGTGGGGGAATGCCACATGAATGAAATGTGAAGATCATTCTGGAAGAAGTCTGGAAGATGCCCTACAAGGAGGAAAGAAGTTGGGGAAAGGCCAGGTGGGGGGATATGAGAAAGACTAGAAGCAGTAAGCCTAGAAAAGGGAACTATGGAAAGATAACAAATATTATGACACATATTTAGGGTGCTGAATTGATAGAATTTGGTAAAACTTGATGTAGCGCATGTTAAGGAAGAGACAATTATGACAATTCAGGTTTCTGAAAGCTAAATGAAAAATGCTGCCACTCATGAAAATAGAAGAGATACGAGATTAGAGATTAGAGGCAGACAAAATTTGCTTTCAACATGTTTAGTTTGAGGGGCCATAAAGATAGCCAGGTGGCAATGTGCTGAATAAACTAGATATAGAGGTCTGGACCCTGAAGAGATCTAGGTGGGGAAGATATATTTCAGACATCAGTATGTGGGTGTTAACAGAGGCCATGAGTACAAATAAGACTGTATAGAAAGAATTATCAGTCTGAAATCAGAACCAAGAACACAATGCTAAAGAATACCAACACAGGGTGGAACCACGATGGCGGCTGATTCACAGGCAATATAACGTCCCCCGGCACCAAAGACCCAAAAAACCAAGCGAAACAGAATCAGATAACAATCCCGGAATCCTGAACACCAAAAGAGAAGGTCTGAGAACTAAACCGAACACCACCTAGAAGGAATAAGTGAGTGAATGCAGCAAACAAGGAGTAACATGGAACGGAGGAGTTCAGTCAGCCATCCAACATGTTAATCTTAGGACAAAGCCAGCAGCGACTCCAGGTAAAGAACACAGGAAGACAACGTCACAATTTTTCCAAAACGGACACAGAAACTCCACAGACGCACACACAGAGAAGCAGAAGCAAGGCGGGAGCCAGGATCCAGAGGTGGAGATACTCAGGAGCAGCGTGCCTGCAGAGTGTTGGCAGTTCTCCCACCCAACCATATTCACCATTGTACTGGAAGTCCAAGCCAGAGTAATAAGGCAAGAAAAGGAAATAGGACTTAAGGACCACATAAACCAGAGACTCCACCAGCCTGAAACCAGAACTAGATGGTGCCCAGCTACTACCCACAACCACCCTGACAGGGTCACAACAGAGAGCCCCGGAGAGAGCGGAAGAAAAACGTAGAATTCAAATTCACACAAAACATCTGACAGAGGCTAGAGGAACCCCTGAAACTATGGCCCCCCGACGCTCTGCTAAACCAGAACTGAAACCATTCTCAAAGCCCACTTTTCAGACAAAGATTAGACTGGCCTATAAAACAAGAAATAACACACATGAGGAATGCACTTCTTACTTCAATCAAATATCTGGAACCAAATGGGCAACTCCTGCCCAAAAGCCAGGACAAGAAGGCAGGAAGGGACCGGAACTGGATGAATGGACACAGGGAACCAGGAGTGGAAAGGGGGACCGTGCTGTCAAATTGTGGGAATGGCAACCAATGTCACAAAACAAGATGTGTATGAATTTTTGAATGAGAAATTAACTTGAGCTGTAAATTTTCACCTGAAGCACAATTAAAAAAGAAAGAAAAGAACGGGAAATAAAGGGCATCCAAATTGGTAAGGAAGAAGGACAACTATCCCTATTCACAGATGATATGATCCTATGCATAGAAAATCCTGAAGAAAGCTACTGGAACTAATAGAAGGATTCAGCAAAGTGGCAGGATGCAAGATTAACATTAAAAAATCAGTTGGACTCCTATACATCAAGAAACAGAACTTTGAAAATGAAATCAGGAAAACAATACCATTTCTGTTTGTTGTTATGAGCAGTCGACTCATAGCAACCCTATGTACAACAGAATGAAATACTGTCCCGTCCTGTGCCATCATCACAATCACTGTTACATTTCAGCCAACTGTTGCAGCCACTGTGTCAATCCATTTCAATGGGGTCTTCCTCTTTTTCCCTGACCCTCTACTTTACCAAGCATGAAGTCCTTCTCCAGGGACTGGTCTTCCTGATAACATGTCCAAAGTACGTGAGATGAGGTCTCACCATCCTTGCTTCCAAGGAGCGTTCTGGCTGTACTTCTTCCAAGACAGATTTGTTTGCTCTTCTCGCAGTCTATGATATATATTCAATATGCTTCGCCAACACCATAATTCAAAGGCATCAATTCTTCTTTGGTCTTCCTTATTCACTGCCCAGCTTTCACATGCGTATGAGTTGAATGAAAAAATACCATGGCTTGTGTCAGGCACACCTAAGTCCTCAAAGTGACATCTTTGCTTTTTAAAAGTTTAAAGAACTCTTTTGCAGCAAATTTGTCCAATGCAATACGGCATTTGATTTCTTGATGCTGCTTCCATGTGCGCTGATTGTAAAGTAAAATGAAATCCCTGACAACTTCAATCTTTTCTCCGTTTTTCATGATGTTGCTTGTTGGTCCAGTTGTGAGGATTTTTATTTTCTCTGTGTTGAGGTGTAATCCATACTGAAGGCTGTAGTCTTTGATCTTTATCAGTAAGTGCTTCAAGTCCTCTTCACTTTCAGCAAGCAAGGTTGTGTCATCTGCATATCGCAGGTTGTTAATGAGTCTTCCTCCAATCCTGATAAACTGCGTTCTTCATATAGTCCAGCTTCTCAGACTATTTGCTCAGAATACAGATTGAATAAGTATACTGAAAGGATACAAACCTAACACACACCTTTCCTGACTTTAAAGCACACAGCATGTACAAGTTATGCATGAGCACAATTAAGTGTTCTGGAATTTTCATTCTTCGCTGTATTATCCATAATTTGTT